TGGAAAAGACTAGGTGGCACATGGTACGAAGATGAGTTCTCGGGGTGGTGCCGGAGCCCCACGAAACTGCACATGGGGATCCCGGCACGTTTCATGGGGACCCCGGCACGACCCCTTTCTGGGGTCGTGCCAGGGGCCCCATGGAACTGCACCGTGGGTTGCTGACCCCTGGTCCAGTGCACTTGAAGCATTGCCTTGCCTTCAGAAGAATCTGCCTTTTGTCATTAAGAGATATACTTTCAGTGCAGGTATCGGTGTCGTGGCCTGGGGCTGTCTGTCCGCAAGTTTGATTATGTGGTCGTCAGTGAGAAGCTTCCCATTGCCAAAACGGATTTTAAAGGGACATTGACAGGTATTTATGCTCGCAGAGGTTTTTAGATGTATGTGACATATGAGAGCCCAACTACCCAGAACAGAATTTGCAGCTCGAAATTCGGTTTCTTTTCGCCCGAAAAGCGCCGATCAAGAACTGGCCGGTTCGAGTCTCGCTCACTCTCTTTTCTGTGGTCACAGGCCATTTTTTAAGGTTTGGACACAACCACTAAATTTAATCAAAGTCGTGGGTCATTGAAGGCACACACTCAGTACTAAAAATAGAAAAAAAATATGAAACCCAGTTTTTGTGGCTTCTAAAAAGCTGCAAATAGGTTGATTGAAAAAAAACTTGCACGGAGAACCGGAAGCATCCTGTGCGTTCACTACGTAATTCTCAAAATGGCGGTGTTTTGCGTATTGTGGGTGGGACTCGTGGGGACGGCGATGGCAGCGGACGACGGGCATGGGACTTCCAACTTTAGAACTGCCGTTTGCGGTACTGGAGAATTTTGTCTTCCTTTGAAAGAGAAATTTTGGACCGATCAAAAGACTTGCTTTTCATCCCGGACGACATGCCCGACCACCAAGCCGATTTGCATGGAGACGTCGCCAAGCCGTCACCCCCTTCTCGCAGCTGAACACATCGCTCACGCAAACGTCAAGCACGAAGTGCGTACTTCGAGTTGAATATGCACGTGTACGATGTCTTTACTAGGTGCAATTGTGGCCAATGCGTGGTGCTGCCCGACTTCGACCCGGAAGTGCTTTTACTGGAAGAAAATCGGCAACAAACTTTCCAACCTACAGTTGAACGGCTGCACTATTACAATCGAAGTGTTTCCCCAGTAGCTCAGTGGAAAGACGTCCACTTAACGCGCGGTGGAACCAGGTTCAATCTTGTGTGGGCCCACGGTGTTGTTTTTTTTTTTCAAACATTTTGCGATATTTACATTTCTTTTTTTACAATTATGACTGGAAAAACACATATCTTGTGGATTATACGTTGCTGAACTAAATCGTATGGGATTTCCTTTTTGACACCCGCAAACTCAATGCAGTCACTTTCCACAAAATGCAAGAACCATATAAATCGGGTAGCATCCGCTTTCCGAGGTGCCCGTAAATGTTCTACAGGAATTGCAGCTAGCCATTGGTCCCGCTACCGTTGATCCTTCGGAAACATGCGCCGACTCTGCCGCACACCGACACTTTTTCTCGGACGCAGGACATGTGAGCCAGCTTTTCACGCAACACCTTAGGGGCATTTTTTTCTTAGAGGCGATTACAGAAATTCACCACGGGCACTCATTACTCACATCCCACACTTGAATGTACGAAACAACTCATCTTGAAGTGCAGAACAGCGAGCGGAACAAACAAAACTGCAAAGGAATAATCATACGGCAAACAGTTCCCGCAACGCATATCGTCTACTGTGAAAAAAAAAAAAAAAAAATTGCGCGGGTGGGTGTAGTTATGGTGACTTCCGCCACTCCACTCTCTCTTCTCCACATCTCCGACCTCCGTGCGTGGGTTTCAGTTTCGGTGTTGAGCAGTTGCGTTTTTTGGCTTTATTAAAAATATAAGGGACTGTTGCAAAATATTAATTGGGTAGTCTTCAGACACCATAATAAATAGCCTAACAAAAAATGAAAAAAAAAAAAAATCTGTGGGGTGTTAGTATTTTTTTAAGCATGTTTCGAGCGTCCTGACAGCATATAGCCGTGGCTGGTAGTCCAGAGAGTGCTGCCAAAACTTCTCCAGAGGGCAGCTCTCAAATACCGTATTTACTCGCGCAATGAACGCACTCGCGTAATGAACGCACCCCCCAAGTCTGCTCTCAAAATTTCGACTTTTTTTTTCACTCGCGTAATAAACGCACCCCCAACTTCGATGTCAAAATTTTGACCCCCTCCCCCCACGCGCGCGAAATGAACGCGCTTTTCTATCCTGGTGCAGCGAGGTCGAGAATGCATGGGCAGCGTGGGCAAACAAAACGCCTTGCAAAAGGCGTTTAAAAGATTCGAAAATATCAAACAGAAGCAAGAAAAAAGTACATGGAGAGGAGCTTTCTTTTTTTTTTTTTTTTGCGCGGCGCAGTCTGGATTTTGGGTTCGCGCCGTTGCGCGAAAGGACGTAAGAAAGAGAAGCGCTCTAAGCTAACGAAACAGCTAGCAAAAGGCGGAAAAAAGAAAAAAAAAAAAAACACGAAACTAAGAGAAAACAAAAACAAAGGGAAGCTTTTGTTTTTTTCTTTCTTTTTTTTTTTTTTTTTCACAGCGCAGTTTGGTTTTGGGGGTTTGCGCGCCAAGCGCAAGGAGGTAAATAAGAGGAGCGGAGAAGCCCTCTAAGCAAACGAAACAGCTTGCGAAAGGCGGCAAAAAAAAACAAAAAACAAACCCACCGAACTGAGAAAAAAAAAAAAATAAAAAGATAAGATTTTTTTCTTCTTTTTTTTTTTTTGTACAGCGCAGTTTGGTTACCGGGGGTCGCGCGCCGCGCGCAAGGAGATAAGAAAGATAAGCGGAGAGCCCTCTTCTAAGCAAACAAGACGGCTTGCGAAAGGCGGCAAAAAAAAAAAATCCCAAGGAACTAGAAAAAAAAAGTTTTTTTTTTTTTTGCACAGCTTAGTTTGGTTACGGGGTCCCGCGCCGCGCGCAAAGAGATAAGAAGTTACTTCGATTTTTCAGGATAAAAGGTCCGTTCATTATGCGAGTAAATACAGACACAAAGATTTTACTTCGCGTAATGAACGCCCCCCCCCCTAACTTTGCATCGATTTTTCGGAAAAAAAAGTGAGTTCATTCTGCGAGTAAATACGGTAGTTGAACTTGTCGAGGGACGATAGCTCTTGGTTTTTGTCGATCACCCATTCAAACTGCTCCCAGAGGGGATGCCATTGTCGACGGCCGCCACTGAACTTCAGGAGCTTGATATTCGGAAGCTTAATTTACCTTGACCATTGGCCGTGGGCATTCACTGCCACTTTGGCGTGTTCAATCGGACCTCGTGGTTGTTCCTTCGCTTTTGATGTTTACTTTAAAGCCTAACCGCGCAGAACGTGTGGCGACCCGGCCGTCGTATTGAATGACCCGCTCAAACTCCCACCCCGCTTCTCCATCAGTTAGCAATGGCTCGATGGCAGCATCTGTGTCCTTCAGTCATTCAACTGTGTATGTAATCCAACCGAGCGAGAAGGATCCTAAGCTCCTCTTTCACGAGTTCTTCGCGTACCAGGGTAGAGTCAATCTCAGAAAGTAGTCTCGATATCTGCGTCCTTTGGGTCCCACGCTTCTGTTTTAGTCCCTCCACGTCGGCGCCCTTAGGCCTCATTGTTTCGATCTAAAGCTTGGTAGAGTCGACGCTTCGACGTCTCACCGTCCGGTGCCACCAGGTCCCAGGTTTCGGCCCCATGTGGTAAGAACGGCTGACTGGTCGTTAGTTGAACGAGGTCAACAACAGCGCTTATGTACAAGTATTTATGTTAAAAGTGTTCGGCATTGTTCGCTCATGGCCAGGCCTCGGTCCTTCCTCCAGGTACATTGTTTTCTCGAGATCCCATTCCTTCCTCTTTGTCGGGATGCCCGCTTTCAAGTTTTAACAAGCACAAAGAAAGTTAGCCGATGACAATGATAGTGCCCCCTAATGGGGAGTGTGCGCTCCCTCGCAGGCACAGAGTTAATGTAATAATCTAGAGGGAAATGCCCCGTGCATTTCCGCCGCTTTGGAAAGACGGGGCGCAGACGCAGACATCGGTGGTCCTAATGGGATTGTATTGCTGGAAACGCTTTGATATACAAAAGAAAGCAAGAAAACATCACTTGCAAGGTCTGTATCTAGTGCTTTTATAACTTTGTTTTGCATGAAAACATTGGCGTCGCACATTGTATAAAAATAAATCAAGTTGACAAGCGCTCGACTAACTTCAATTCTTCGCGACAAAACGAACACGCCTAACCAATTGTCTGCTTTCTTTCTCCGCTTTTCTGTCACTCTCCTTTTCTTTGTTTCTCTCGGGACAACAGCTATCAGTGCTTACAGTTTGTGCGTTCTGCTCCTGTCTTTATCTCCTAGCAAAGTTTTACAACTGTGTTGATCGAGTAATATCGAGTGAAAGTGAATTCTACAGGCTCGATCGTGTTGACAAAGACCAGGAAGCGCAGAGTATATTCCGCACACTCTGTGCGTCCTTTGTGCTAGATTTTTCTCTTTTTATTACCTATATTTTACTTCACTACCTTATTTTTAATTATTTCTTAGTTATTGGCATATTTTTCTATTTATGCCTGTATTGAAAAATGCAGCTGTCACCAACACTTTTGCAATCAAATAAAACCACAGAACCATGCATAGCAGCTGCGTTAGTAGCTCAGTGGCTATAGCAACCGACCACCACAGCACCGACCCAGGTCCGAGCCTCGCCGGAGGCTGGAACCTGGTGTTAATTACAAACTTCATATATAATCTTAATGTCCATTTCTTTATTTATTTAGCTCGGGAGGGTAAGGTCGCTGTGAAACAGGCGTTATGCCCATACCGAGAAGGTGCACAGTGCCTCTTAAAAAAGAAAATAAGAGGAAAATAATAAGAATAAAAAACTGGTTCATGAAAATATTCTTAGAGCGAATGCCCTATAAAAGACATTATGCATTAATAAATAACAGGGGAAAAGGGTGAGCACCCACCCTGGAGGCAGGTGGGGAGGGCTGCGCCGTTCCGGTCTCCCTCGGCGCATCCTGTTTTGGGGATCTTGGGTTCCGTCTCCCCGCTCTCCTTGTCCGCGTAGCGGCCCTCCTTGTTCTGGCTGCCGTCGCATCGTCCCGGCAACTCCGCTGCTGACGAGCAAACGCAGAAAAACTAGTGACGCTTTCACGGTTTCATAAAATGTAGGGACGCTTTGTGCGGGCTTTATTTCTTCCCCCATGGACGGGATTCTCGGCGTCCCATTTCCGGTGTTGGAAGAAAACAGGACGTGGGACTCCCCAAGTTTGGGGGAACGAGCACGTGACCCAAATACTGAAAAAACAAGCCGGTACCGGTAGGAGAGGGGAACCAGGTTCCCAAAGAAGGGAGCAGCCTCGCAGACAGTTCAGTGAGGGTTGTGTTCAGAGATACAAAATGAAGTCCTAAAGACTTCTTCCCAAGTTTTTCTGATTTGAGACCAGGTCTAATTTGGCCTTCTTCGGTTTCCCCACCCTATTGTGGCCAAACTGTCTCGGGAATTATCTTTTGGGGTGATATATATATTGAAACAGTATTGCCATTAATTGGTCTGGGTCTTCTGTGATGATCGCAGAATCAGGAGGGAAACATTTCTGAGCCCAGTAGGTCTTTCGTCAGTTCAAATAAAAAATATCCAGCATTAAGTTTTTGTACACTCTTCTTATTTTGAACAACAGTAGCCCGACGGTTCTTTTCAACTCCAGAGGTGAAATCCGCGACTTTTACACTATCCTAAATAGCCTGCCCCTTAATGTCAAGTTTTACAACATTTTACCGAACAGGTCCAATGATATTTGCCATTTACCGTCCTTCCAGTGTGCCGTTTTGTTTGTTAACCTTCTTTTAAATATTCCACAAATACACCGGGACGCGACTATATTTATTTCTAGCATTCCTCCTCGTTTGGAAAATAATTTCAGACGTTGGGAACCTTGCTTTTAGAAAGAAAAAAAAAAGTTGCCAAGAGTCTTAGTGGGACTGATGAAGGACCTACCAAGTTTCAAAACGTTTCCTTCCTGGTTCTGTGATCGTCACAGAAGACCCAAACCATTTAAGGGGATTTAAGGAGTTCTACAGCCAGGAGGACATAATATAGAGGGCAACGTCGGATGCATACGGTTTACAGAAGCTTGTCCTAGCGAACGCCATTTTACCGACTCCAGTTTATCGAAACCCTTTACAGAGAAACCCAGTTTAGAAAAAATGGTGATGAGCTTCCTTTCAGGGAATTCGGCCGCAGCGAAGCGGTGTGTACGGATGGTTCGGGTGAGCTAACATTTTTGTAATGAGCTGCTGCAGACTGCCGCCGCAAAGCAGCGTAAATGGGGGGGGCGGGTGTTAACACACGCCGCAGTGATACACGCTTGAAGCGGGGAAGCTTTTTTTGAACAGCGTTCCTTTTCAATAAATGAAGTGTCTAAATTGAGGCTCCGCTTTTTCTAAACCGAGCTTCGATAAAACATGCCTGTTCTCTAAAACATGTTTAGATGAAATGGCGTTTAATCAACCGTAGTAAACCAACCCGGCTAACTCTCGTGGTAAGATAATTAACAAAATTTTTTATTAACTTTTTAATTAGTGAAAATAGTCATGTTGCTCTAATTACAAAATTGCTGAGCGTCACTGAAAATTTCTAAAGATAAAACTTGGGCGATTTGGTATGACATGTTTGAGAATTAAAACAGTGCAAAGGACAAGATGAAGAATGACACGGACAGTTTAGATCAATGCATTTTAGTTCCCAGTCAGCGCTGTGCCTGTGTCATTCTTCCTGTAATCCCTTGTCTTTTGCGCTGTTTTGATTCTCAAATCAGTCCCTGAAATCCCTCAAATCAGTCAATTTTAGGACGACTTCAATCATATGAGAAGCGCTGGGGTGCGCCAAAGTTACCCTCGTGCTACGGGCACAATGCTAGCGGTGGGAAAGCACAGATAATTAAATTATCAAACGTGCCTTCTCACTGCTAGCATTGCACCTGCGCACAAGTGGCAACTTCGGCACACCCCAGCTCTTCCCACACACTTTAAGTCATCATAAAATTGACTGCTTTAGTGGATCATCTATTGGCGTATATAGATACTGTAGAATCCCGTAAGGACGCCATCCCCCGAGATGTCGGCCATCCCGTTTTCCTGGCTAAATATCTGTAACATCAAAATTCCGAAAGCTCGCCCGCCCCTTGATTCCCGTAATAACCGCGCGATCTGCGGTACTGGTATGTGCATGAGTTGTTCCAGCGTGTGTATTGCATCAGGGAACGCGATCCTACAGCGTCCGCGATCTGCAGCATTTGTTCCAATAACATGCGAGTCTGTAGCGGAATCCTGCACTTTTGTCTGCGATAAGCACGGGCAGTATCGGTTCCTTTGACAGGCAAGTTTACAGCCGCTTCCCTCATGTTTATTCCACCATAAAACTTGAATCTGCTGTGTCCGCAATCTGCGGTATCCGTTCCCGTGAGATGCGAGTTCTCGGAGGGTTTCCACAGGTCCCTTGGACTGTGAAACATGACTCATCTGCAACGTGCGGTATCCTTTCCCGTGACGCAGGAATTCGGAGCGAATACCCACACGTTCATCGTAACGTGAACTGCGAATTTACCGTGTCCACAATCTACGTTATCAGTTCCCACGTCCTGTGGTTTGTAGCGGGTGCCCTGTGTCTATCACTAACTCAATAAAGTTTTGCTATTACATCCCCAAAGATAGCCCACCCCATGGTTTTTTAAACATTTCTCTATCCATTTTGGGTGGCCATTCTTTCTGTATTTTACGGTATATACATGCAATCCTAACCATAGCTACGTTTATGGGATCTCCAAATAGAAAAAGGGAATCTCAAGCCATGAATCCTGATGACAATTAGGTAACATTCCTCACCTATTTGATCTTCCATGCATTTACGAAGAACAGTAAGATTTGAGTTGGGTGTTTTTTACATTGGTAATGCCTAACACTTACTCGCTTATTGTTGACGGTTGTACCGGTACACCGAAAAATTGCGCTATACCTCGTTTCAGCTTAAAGGGGCACTAAAGTGCTTTTTCAGACCCTCGTTTTCTTGTCATGACTCAATCCACAAGCTCAAAAGCATCCTAAAAAAAAAAATTACATTTATGTGCACCCATTTTGCATATTAAAAAAGTGATCAAAGATCCGGACACTTACTGTTAGCACAGAACGACAAATGGCACCACCAAACTTTGCTGAATATGGTTGAACAATGAGCGGCGCACGTCAGCCAATCGCGAGCAATGCATTCCCGTGTCGACGAACAAGACTAGTCGGCGGCTCGTCCACGCAAGAACCCAGCCGCTCGTTCGATGATATTCAGCAAGGTTCGGTAGCACCAACAGTAAGTGTCGAGATCTTTGATCACTTTTTACACATGCAAATCCGCTGTACATGAATGTAACTTTGGGATTGTTTGGATGCTTAGAGCTCGTAGATTGAGCTATGAGCATAAAACGAGGATCTCGAAAAGTATTTTAGTGCCCCTTTAAGTCCACACGCAGCCGACGCTATGAGCCCAATCAGACAGTGTCAAAGCGCACCATCATGATGTTTATCGTGTTCTATCACTGCTGATCCAATCATAAATAAAGGATTGCGACAAAAGAAAAACTTTCGTCACGCTTTCTTTGCTTCTGGAATGTTTCAGGTTAATTCTATCTTTGCTTTAAAAATGTTTCAGGTTAGTTCTATATTTTACAGGCTAACAACCCTTTTAAGGTGGCAGACATCCTGGACGGTAAACACATCTGGACATCCAGCATCTCTGCAAATTCCGTGGGTGATGAAGATGCCCTGCATGCGGCACTAGCAAAAACACCGTTTTATGGGAGTGAAAACGATTGGTGTACGCACAGGATAAGCGTGGCTGCTCCACATCAGAAGACCCCAATAAAGCTGGCCACCAATCTTCCCTTAAAGGGATACTGAAGCGAAACTTGAAATACACCTATTATGGTCAGAAATAGGTTCAATATGATCAATGATATTCATAAATCATAATCGCGCGTTTGTATTTTGAACGGATGGCTATATTTTTCACCCTGATGGGCCCGATTGGGCGCGCGCTCAAAAATCGGCCATCGGAGAGCGCGATGCGTCTTGGGATATTGGGCGCATTCGTGACGTCACTTGTGCCGGTCGGGAAAGGCTACGGCGTGAATGTTGTGGTTACGAGCGTTGCCACTTGGTGGCGCGTCGACGATTTACGACCTGTGACAACGTCGCCGTTTGAGATGCGCAAGGGCTGCACGCACGCTGCATCACGGCAAGTCGGCAACCACGGCAGCACTGACAAAACCAGCTCTGAGGCCGGATTCTCAAAGCGAATTCACGACGAAAAAAGTGCGTACGACAAATTTGAGAGAAAACCCGTGCTCTCGAAACGAAATTGTCGTAACCTTTGCGCAGGTTACGACAGAATCCTACGACAGCTCCGAAGCTGTCTTACGCACTTTTTACGATCAAATCAACAAGGCCGACAGCGTCGTTCAGTTACTTGGTATCGGCCACCAACGGACATTTATTTTTCTTCGTGCTCTTCTCGTGCGTCCCGACTTCAACCAGCAAGAAAAAGGAAGGAGTACTTAAAACAGACCACGACGATCAAGAACGCAGGATCCACAAACACACGAGAAGAGCTACAACAGCCACGATTCTGCCGACCGAGCGAGCTCGGCAGAATATAGTAGGCCTAGCAGCAACATCGACTCGGCGCACCGTTGCTCCGGCGGTCCTTGGCCAAGACCGTCTGTCCATGACCGGCTGGCCTGCTGAATGGAATATGCCCGCGCGACCCTTGTGGACCCTTACCGGATGAGTAGTTTGATCCCTGAACTAAATTTCAGAGGTCAATATTTCCCCCTTGTCATCTCGATCTCCTTGTTTTCCGAGACAGCGGTGACGAACGCTGTCGTCGAAAAGGGACTCTCATTGATTCTATCTCCTTGTTTTGTGTGATATAGAACTCAAATAAACGCCATACGGATTACCTTGGCAACTCGGTATGTACACTCTGTTATTAGTATGCCATTTTTATTCTGACTCGACGCTACGTCAGTGTCGAGCTATAGCAGTTCGTGGGAGCTACGCGATGTCGGTCTAACCTTTCTTTGCCGAGTGTCATGTCAGTATCGAGTTGCAATTGTAAAAGATCGGTCCAGAAGCGCTTACCGAAACGCGGTCTAAGAGCGAATCCAGCACTTCGATCAAACGCGCGCGTCCGCTCCGAGTGTGAACAGGTATTTGGCATTTGCGTGGCTCTTGCTGACACCCTCGTAGTTCAAACATATCCTTTTTAACGTCGGCTTGCAGCTCGCGACTCGCAGCAACTAATACCGGCCGTGCCATTAGCATGCTCGGGCCGTTTCGTGCAAAGAGCCGCAACGAGAACGAGCTCACTGTGGCCAACTACGCTTTGGCTTCCTCCGCCAAGGCTTTGCAAACGCGTTCAGGCCTAGGCGAATTCTGCCGGCACGCCGTATTGCCGCAGAACGGCGCTGCTATTTTGGCACAAGTGATGTCACGAGAACTTCCCCCCATCCACCAGATGAGAATTTGAAATCGTTTAATTATGTTTAAAATTAGTTCTCCTGTGCTTTACAGCGCAATATTTATATTTCCGAGGTGGTGCCTGTCCCTAGCCCATATTTATGCAACAAGATCGGCGCTAAAATTTCGTTTCACTACCCCTTTAATTCGTGAGACTGTCACTGCAATCAATGTTACAAAAGCCCCCACCACAGTGGTAGCTAACAAACTTTTCTCACTCTAGATTTGGTGGACAACCGGAAGAAATAATAGGCATTTCTCACAATTATCCAAGTACCAAGGAATGTGCTGCGAGTGTAATTACACGCACTTCACACGCCGGCCCCTGCAGCAATAACTGTTCTAAAGCAAACATTCAATGCAAATGGCACTTTGCATGTGCATTCATCGACTGCTTATTTTGGTTCTTAGAACCTTCCATACAAATAAGAAGAGTGCACACAGCACGCATACATATTTTCCCAGCATTCTTCTTCGTGCTCGGGTAATTTGGCAAAGGGGTCCTTTGGCACCAGTAAAGGCGCACACCTATAACACTGGGCGGATGTAGGTATTGCCCATTTCTCTGCCCAAGCTTTTGAAAGCAATATAATCCCATTTATTTTAAGATGCGTCCACAGGTTGCTTTGAAGGCCATCATGTGATCCTGGACTGTAATCAGGCGTAAGGTGAAACGGAATACAGCCATCTCGTGCTGCAAGCGTATACTTACTGCGGCCAAGCTTACGCTTGCTTGTGCCTGCCATAACCGACATTGTGCATTCAACTGGAGAAACCAATGTCGCAACACAACGAGGACTCTATTTTAAAGTAAAAAATAATACAAGCTTGATCATGCTGACAAAGACTGGTAAGCACGTAATGTGTGATAGGCCTTCCAGGGAAGAAGAGAAGGGCATCTCAACGGCAGCGCCTAGCAAAGATCCGCTCTTATTTCCGACGCATGCCGCGAGATGGCGCAGAATGGTAGCAAAGGCCCTAAATAGCTCACTTGGCTCACCATCTCACGGTGGTAAATTCAAATTCTGCTGGGGGGACTCGAGCCTTCTTATATGGTTCCCTATGGGTGTAATGCTTTTCGGTGTCGTACAGCCGGCCTTTACAGCCAAATGTGACAGAAATCCCTGGAAATCGGCTGACAAAACACATTCCGCGTTAAAATATTTGGACAACTTCGGCAGTTAGAAATGGACTTCAACGTTTCAATCTAAATCTGGTAATAAAAGATTAACAGTTTCAGTGGGAACTTAGGGATTCACATTTTCTCTGTTCAGGTCATGTTTTGACGAAAACAGAAACTTTATGCCTGCCTGCCGGTAGGACCAACATGCTCAAAGACATAGGTATGGTGCGCTGCTTTGACCCAAATTAAGTTGCACATGTCACAATTGTTTACACAAAATGGCTGTTCCGGGACACATTTCTTAGAGCGGAAAAATACTGAAAAGCCATCATTTTTCCAACCTCAAAAAAAAAAAAAAAAGTAAAAAAAATTTAAGCCAAAATTACTGGGTACTTCGGGATTTTACACTGAAATTAGAAAAAAAACTTTTGCTGGTTTTGTGGGCGAGCGCTTAGAATGGTCCCTCCATTTTTCACGGTTCTTCAGAAGTGGTGACCACCGGGAACCTCAGAAACAAACGTTAGCTTCAACAAGAGGAGCAAAGGACTCCAGCGACCCGTTCCAGTTGCTGCAATCTGTGGCCCTCGTCGCGAGGTAAGCGCTGTATTTAGACGGATGACGCAAGCACTTTTCCAAGCGCACCGTTCACGAGGTCATCTCCCCGCTTGACATCGTGACGCTGCGAATTTACCCGAAACGAATTCGAAAAAGCGCGCGACCGTCGCTGTATCATCGATTTAAAAACAAACGCGGCACGACACGAGGCCAGAAAGACAACTTGCGCAACGTCGCTAGAAACCGACGCTCGACCGTCCTGTGGCCGCAGTCTTGGCTTTTTCTCTTCCACATCGTCGAGTTCGGCTGACTAATTGCGTACATCTGTACCGCGAGAAAGCACTAAATAAAAATGGTCATGGAATGAAAAGCGAGTGGAATAAAAGAAACAAAGAAAAAGGGCATCGGAAAACATCTGTGAACACGGATGTGCCTGATCGAAATGCATTTTTCGGTCGTTTCAAACAGCTTCCAAACGTAATTTTATGTTCGTTTCGTTGGAACCTTATGGAACTCGCTTTCGGTCATTAATTAGGCTAATTACTCGATCAAAAAATGGCCACGTTCTGGGTCATGGAACTGTACGCAAGTTGGATCATGTCGTTTAACACCAGAAACTGTCGTGCAGAAAAGGAAAACACTTTTAGCCAAAGAAACAGGCGCAGAAGGGAATGTCTCGAACTCAGCTAGCTGATTAATTGATCAAGCATCCGATTTATGCCCACACAGCCACTTTCATACACTTTCTACGCAGAGATCTCCTTTGTTGAAAGCACTTTCAGAAACAAAGCACATACACATTCACAAGAAAACAAACGGTCTAACCGAAAATACCATCATCGTCAACCGACCTCCACTTCTCTGAATATTCCTTCACCAAAAGGTTTTTCCTTCGTTGTTTGCGTTACAGTTTGAGGTGATTAGCTACCACCAGCTCGCGTGCGCACTGTTGGAGGAGTGAATGGGCATTTTTGAAAAGTAGGTTGGAAGAGAGAAAATTAGGCAACGAAGAGTGAAATAAGACGCTAACGTTTTTTTTATAGTACAAAGAAATCTCCAATGAAACGCCACCAAAGCAGGGACGAAAATAATTGCGCAACCTACAACGGTCTTTCGCGTGGTATTGCAGCCCCAAACAGCTGAGTGAGTAAGCATGGTTCTTTTTAAGGCGGCACATCGCATCCGTAGAAATTTCCATTCATTTAATAATTCAACATGGGCGCAAAATACATTACGTGTACGTAAAAACGGTCACTAAATCACTCAAACTGCGATGAAAGACCAACAAACAGGGAAAATCCTCACTTTCCGTTGAGCCCGTGTTGTTTTCGGACGCCATCGGTGAAAATTTACTGCGAATCTACTGTAGCGCGAGTGACGACATATTTTTGTTTCTTTTAACTAAAAGATGTAAAAACAAAACTATAAATATTTACGAGAAAAAATCACGTGATTATTATTAGTGATACTTATAACTTGCTTTACTTTAGTAGGCGGTAATTTATTTTATTTGCCTCGGTCCGGTGCTCTTTAATTATCGGCACTTTGTTTTTATTTTGAGCTCAGCTGGCTCAGCCGCTTAGCGATCAGCCTCTCTGCTGTGACGAAGTTTATCGCAGCTGTCCGCGATCATTCAAACCTTCGCCCGCTTGCTGTAGCTTGACGGCTGGACAGGCAGCGAAAGCATGGCTTACTGCGCGTGGAACGGATCGGAGAAGTACAGAGACACGTTCGTTTCAGGTAAGGCGCCATGCATGGGTAGCTTCGAGCGATACGCCTTCGTCACAGTCGTCACCCGAGCCGTAGCACGATCGGCTACCGGCTCGCGCTCTGTTGCCACCTCTTATTGATTTTAGAGGTTTCGAAACCATGGTGCTTTCTACCTTACTCGGTTCGCTTTTTTTTTCTAAGGCTGTCGAGGCTGACGTCCGGTGCGCCTTTTACACCTACGCTGTGAACGAAATTGTCGCGTTTCCTGTCGTCGGAAGGAGGAAAGAAAAAAGAAATGCCGGGAAATCCCGTGCCTCGGCACGTGTCTGCGATGTAGAGGCGGAGAAACGCTCACCTATGAATCTGAACAGGAGGTTTCATCATCTGGGGTAGTTAATTAAGATCAACTGCTGGGCTAGTTGGTTAAGCATCATATATACAACAACGCAAGAACATGAAAGGGACGGCGCGAACTGGAGCATCTTTAGATGGAACGCACTAAATACGCCAAAAGATACAGAAAGAATAAAGACGACAACAACGCAACACTTTTGTCCCATTCCTCTGTCCGTGTTTTGGCGCTTTTAGTACGTGATGAACCGACTATCGGCCCCTGCCCGTTTCGATCTGAATGAGCATCGTACCGGCGTGCGCTCGTGTATTACTATGCTGCGTCACGATCGTTAAAGACCCCAGGCTAGCAGCAGTCGTGCTGCACTCCTAGCTAAAAATCCCATTAAATTCAATTGGAATTCGAACTGGTTTTCACTGGAAAAATTTGGTTTTATTGGTTTCCAACTTGAAGCACACTGGCCAATGGGTCTTACCAATTGGAATTATTTTTCTAGTTTGAACCTGAATGGGGTTCCAAATGGTTCCCATCAACAGTGACCAATTAATTGTCCAAAAACCCAATTGGTACCAATGGGAAAATTCCAATTGAAACTTAATGGGAATTTTAAATTGGGCTGGCCAAATTTTTCATCTACAGTGTGTAACGATGTTGCCATACTCTGGTAGACGATACTCCTGCTGTCCAATCATCTCATTTGTTTTTCTTTTGAACCCCAACTCACCAATTTGTTTAGATCGAAGCCTCTACACTTGAGTATTGGCGTCATCAGAGTGATACGGAGCGAAGATACAGATAGGACACGTGTACTTCGTCGGCATTTGGCTGAACCTCAAATCAATGTGTAGAAGGACGCTCGGCATCGGGTTCGATAGACTACTTTCAGAAATCCCTACGTGCAACACTGCATGCATTACATTTTGGAACCTTTTTGGCCACGGAGAGGAGTTGCCATGACCTACTGTAATCCTGACCTGCCCACAGAATTACTCCCTATGGGAGACGCCATCGCCGATGAAGTGCCTCGCTCTGCCATTGGAGGTGCTCTGTAAAGGCCTTTCTGCAATCCAATTGCACTTCACAACCTGTCTAGCGCACGGTCAGCATGGCCGCATTGGGAGCCCCCAAAAACGTGCCTCTGTTTTATCTGTTTTGGTAGGCAGCACCAACTGTATTATAAATCTGAGGAAAGTCACAGTTAAAGCAGAAGGAGCGTGAATGTTTCTAGGCTAGGTGGCGCAAGCTGCTGCTCGATACAAAGGGTATAGCTGCTACCATTCAATCATCCATCTTGCGATGCAAGACGAGCTTGCTGGAAGTACTTTGGTTGTCTTCACAATGCCTCACAGGCATGTGGCCACGAAGCCGGGGGTGGGGGGGGGGGGCAGGGCAGGGCAGGGCAGGCAGGGCAATGGAGCACAGGTCCCCCCCCTTCCCAAAATCTTCCATTTTGCTGGGATCTCCTCTCTTCCCTCCCCCTCATACATCATTTTGTCATGGGTGGGCCCCCCCCAAAAACAAAATCCTGGCTACGTGGCTGCCTCGCAACAGGGAATGAACGAACTGGAAAGGGCGTCACTGAACAGAAGCGGGGACCCACAGGGGCTCAGCGTGTTCGTCGTTCCAGTGAGACGCCAAAAATAGAGAACATCATTTGGGCCGCACATAGAAGAATGTTCCAAACATATTTCATAGTAGGTTCCAAAGGTCTGTTCAGGTTCTTCTTTTGTTTGGTCTTTTTTATGCTTCTGCAACTTTCTCTTTTAAGAATGACCCATTAATTTGTTTATCTGGTCTGCAGTTACAGAGCTGAATACAAGATTTCTCACATACTATATCAGCTTGTGAGGCTACTAATTTTCTGGTGCTTTTCTCTTTCTGAAAAGCATGGCCTTACGAAAATAGGGAAAACCTATAAAAATAGCAGACGGATTTTTTTATTAATGCAGAGGGATATATTTATGCTTAAAGGCTGCGGTCCCACGGCAGCCATCTTGAACAAGGCGTTAGTTCAATCAATAGATGGCGACACGCACCCGTGGGGTGGCCGAAACATTGGTTCACAGTGGGATGGCTCGAGCACCATCACGTTCTCCTCGTGGCCTTGCTCGCGCCGCTGCCAGCTGTGCTCAGCTAGCTCAAGTAGCGTGGCCCAGCAAACGGATGTATGCGAGAATGTCAGGCTGGGTATAAATTGTTGTCTGATATAGGGAGATGCGGTCGGCGGTTGTAACGTGCTTTCGCAATAAATCTTACCAAGAAGGAATCAAATGTTGATTGACGTGTCAATATTCTATCAATGAAAATTTCCTCTGCAGGAATGCACGCTCAGTAGACTCAACCAGTGGAAGCGGACGTCGAGTAAACTGCTTCGCGATTTACGGTACTTACCTCACCATTTTAATGACGACTAAAATAACGCACGAAATATTGTGTTTCACTTGGTCCGGAAGATGTTGTAAAAGTTGTTACATTATAGTTCCCGGAAAACAAACGCCGTTGCAATATTTTCGGAAGTACCGACACACATTATGTTGTAAGTACAGCTTAGGGAAACCATCAGAAGAAATAGGAAGACGTTTATTTGCAATAAAGACGCTATGAATGAACGGCGTTTAGCGACGGCAAGTTATGAGCGTTCGGGAATTTATAAGTTGAAGTGATTGCTAACCATGGACATGTGGACAATGAAGACCAGTTTTGTCGGGAGATGGTGTTGTGGTGATGACCGGATATCGGACGACTCATGGCAGACGAACAAGCAAGTTTCTCCTCAGCGATTGGTAAGTGTCCAGTTTCAAGCACAACACGTGGCTACCGACGTTGTCGACGTTTCGAACACTTACCGCTTTCGACAAAAGTCCTGGCACCTGGGCTAACTTTGTGGAAAGACTCGAACAGTAACTGAAAACGATCCACTATTCAGTCGGTGGGTGGCGAAACGTATCCACATCTGCGGAGTCATGTACGATGCGTACTCTAAGTGGCTGGAAGTTTACGCGATGTCTGCCACGACGTCCAAACACGTCATTGACGTTCTACGGTCTTTTTTACCTACTTTTGCCCTACCGAAAATACTTTTCTCTGATAACGCGCCAAATCTTGCTTCAAATGAAATAAACAAGTTTTTGAAGAAAAAAACAAAAAACGGCATCAGGCATCATATTAGTGCACCATACCATCCTGCAACTAACGTGCAAGCAGAACAGATGGTGTGCGAAACGAAAAAAAATAATTCCTTTTGAAGCTTACGGAAGAAGCAGTTCAGTGAAGAATCGCCAGGTTCTTGTTCCGGCAACACGCGTCGGTCTCATCTTACACGGAAAAAAACCCGCCGAAGCAATATTCGGCGGAAGAATAGCCACACCCCTCGATCTCATGATACTATCGCTTACGAACAAAGATCGAGAGATAACCACATCGGGAGTAATGGTAGTTTATTCGGTCGGACAACTCGTCTACGTGAGGAATTTCAGCGGAAGTCTGGCCTTCCATGTAAAACTTGAGTAGAAAAGGCTCTATGTTGGTTGACCAGGAGGTGTCATCTCTCTGAATAGGTTGGATATCAATGCCCTTATGTGTAAATATAACTAAATCACAAACCTTCCTTTGTGTATTGTGTAACTGCCCTTGTATTTGATAGTAGAAGCTACGGTGGTGATCTGGACCTTTCACACCAGACTCCTTTTTCTTATTTTTCGCCTCATACTCCTTTGCGGTTTAAGTATGCTTCAAGAATCTTTTGGAACGGGGACACTTTACGTCAACGAGGCCATTTGTTCCAAGTAGTCAATCAGGGAATGCTGCTAGAAATCCGTCCCTCATATTAACGAATAAGCCGCGCTTCTGCACAGTGCAGTTTTCCTGTTCCACGTACAGTTGTAAAGCAACATCCTCATTGATTCTACCATATACTGTTGCGGGTGAAGAAAGTCTTTAGGTACACGATACTTGAAACAAGTCTGGCACTGTACGTTGTGGTTCAACACCCATTAATGTCGTCGTCCTTATAGAGCCTCATCATTTAATCACTACCTCGTCACCTCATATTGCTCTTCATCAACAGTAAGTACAATAGGCTACCGCCACATTACAATCCAAGAATTGAAAAATTAAGTCGTTCAGTCCTTCAACCAGTTTATAATTTATATAATGTTATTAGGTTTCATTACCTCGAGACGATCGACGTCCATTGTCGATCTTCAAATACTTATACCTGTATATAAATTAGACGCACAAGGGGGAGTTGGTTGCCGAGTGCATGGTCTAGCGCACACCAGCTCGGAGCACTGGGAGCGAAAGCTCGCGCTGCAGAACCCACCCCGCCCCTGCCCGTTTCGATCTGGAAGAGCATCGTACCGGCGTGCGGTCGTGCATCACTACTGCGTGGCGCGCGTTGAAGACCCCAGGTTTTCGGTTGTACCGCACTGGCTAAATTGGTCATCTACAGCTGAGACACCAGACGCCCACTAAGGCAGACTAACTTCCGGCTGAATAAACGTACGCACAACAATTTGCAATTAGACGCATAATAACAAAGAACACAGTGTGCCGCCTCTTTTCCTTGGATGCCTTTTTTTCTAAACCAGCGCAAGCTCGTGCGTTCTCTCTTTTGAGACGGTTAGAACGGTCGCGTATAAAACCCGCGTTTCTTCTACCCGCCCGCTTCCTCCTCTCATTATGTGTATTTGGTTATAACTAAATAAGCTATAATAATGGTGTATTATTTATATTTGCTTTCAGTTTCAGTCAGGGAAAAGGAGTTTCGCGGCATCTAGAGCCAATAAATGAGCTGCGCTTAGAGTATCGGCACTCTCTTCCCCGACAGTGTTGTGAACGCCGCCATTTTGGTGCTTGTGCAGAGCAGGCGCAACTGCTGATCGTCATGATTCAAAAGTGCGACATCGTCAGCATTAGATTCGGTGTTAGGAAGCTCATGTAATGTTGCTTTGCTTTGTCGCAAACTGTTTAAAGTGGGGGACGGAAAAGCGTTTCTTGTGATTTCAGATAAAGCTTCAAATAACTGGCAACCATAATTTTAAGCCATACTAAGGCCAAGCGTGGCTACTCTGAAGCGTAGCTTATTTAATAACACTATTCATGCTCTTGTTCAAGAGGCTTGTAATACCTAGGGTGCCTTAATGTCCTTCTGTTTAGGGTGATGCCACCCTCTGTAGTACCCGATGCCTACAGCACGCGCTCACGGAGAAAATACAAAGAAATCGACGAAAACAAAATGTCGCCATAGCACAATCAGCGCCACGAGCGCGTGCAGGGACACGCTCTTTCACGCGCTTCTGAACAAAAAATAAAAATAAAAGAGGGGGACAAAATGGCCAGATGTCGTGCTCCACCCTAAGCAAAGGGCACATGAAGTGCTCCACCCAGTAATACCTGGAGGGGCCATATCGTAAGCCCCGTGGATTCCACAAGCCACTACCTTTTGACACCTGCCTCTTCTTCATTGTTCCCGCTTGTGCCAGTAAATTAGCTACGGTTCAGAGTAACGACACTTGGCCATATTGTGGCTTAAAATCATGGTTGCCAGTTATATGAAACTTTATCTAAAATCACAGGAAACGCTTTTCCCTCCCTCACAAATGTTTAAACAACCCGCGACAGAGCATTGCAATATTGCATCAGCTTCCTAGCACCGCATCTAATGCTGAGGAAATCGTACTTTTAGATCACGATGATCGGCAGTTGCGTTTGCTCTGAGCAAGATCCAAAATGGCGGCGCCCAAAACAATTTTGGGGAACGGAGTGCCGATGCTTTAAAGCTCATTTAGTGACTCTAGGCATAAAGTGAACTCGGGTGTATTCTTTTCCTCTTCGTCTTCATTGTTTATTGATTTCAATCATATCGAATAATGAACACATTATATCACGCTACGGTTGTGTAAATATTGGTCTTAGATTTATTAGCCTGACCCAGTACTTAAACCATTCAGTTATCGATAGTAAATCTTCCAATATATTTTTTAAATGTGAGGGTAAAAAGACACGGAGATTGATGATGATACAGACGCCAACGCCGCCCTCGGAAATTTTTTGAACATTAGAAATCAGCAGTTTGTCTGCCATCCGCCAGGTAGCGCAACAAAACACCCAAACAGTTTTTAATTGTTTTTAAAATTAGCTAAGCTCTACACCTATTAAGAAACCAAAGCAATATCATTGTGAAAATTTAATACATCGCAATGTATATCTATTCCAAACTATAAATGTTATTAAATGCCAATAAATCTGTTTGATGTCCAAAACAGATATGCGTCAAAAACAGGTAAGTTTGAAGGGCTCCTGGAGCGTTATGACTTTGAAAATGAAAAAAAGCCATCGTCCACCTTTTGGGCAACCATTGTAGCTCTAAATGTTATAAAAGATTTTATCATAGTTTAATTATTTCTTCAGCGGCATTTGAACTACCATGACACGAAGCACAAAAAAGTGCTATGTTTGATATAAAATATCTAAACAAAAAAAATTCACACAACATTAAATTTTTTTCTGCATATTACCAATTATAAGCACTACATCTGTAGCTAATTTCATTGCCCTAGCTCTTGTCATTAAAAACATATTTGTGCGGAAAAATGTCAATTTTAGGGCAATATTTGGAGGGATGAAAAAAACAAAGTAGTGCAAATATCAAAAAAGTGGATCGTTAGATTCTGCTCCGACATCATCTTAACAAAACGGCTATATTGGAACCGTGTTATCTTCAATGGATTGTTCATAAAACATGAACTAGGGGAGCAAGTGAGGGTCCGCGCCATCATATTCGCAACGCTACAAATGCGCATGAACAGTAAAAACCAACACATACATAATATGAAATGAAAGAGGATTGCGTTGCCTTTCAAATGACATCAATCCCACGAAACAGTATTTAAAAGGAGATGAGTAATGGCCTGCCGAAAAGTACCTAAACTGCCACATTCAGTGGGACCGTGGCCTTAAAGTGGCAATATAGGCCATCCTCTGAAACCTTCTCAACCCAGGGTCTGCCAGATGATTCACATTGGGTGAAGCAGCAATATTTGGGAGATTCAATGGACAGTCCTTAGATGTGACTCTGACCAACAGAAAGAAGGGAAGTCGTCCTTTCTTTCTTTACCAGCCTGATTGTGCTCTGTGCATCTCTGTTCTTTCAGCATCTTTGAAGGTCATCGCAGCTGGTGTGGTCTCGTTGAAATGGTATAACTACCCAGACTTGCTCTAAGCTTGGCCAAAAGAATCGGCGCCTGCCCATAGCGTTTTCAGATGTTCCTGAAAGGTGTATTCCAATAGCACCTTTTGCCTCCTGACATTTCTGCACAAGGAGAGAAGCAAACTTGCCAGGGTGAACAGCGAGCAGACGACGCCATTGGGAGGTGGCTCCACAAGCATATCAGTGTGCCTAGATTCGAAAGTGATTCCAACTACTCTCTCTGGGTTCCATGGCTTATAGGCCGTGTTTGCAATATGTGGTACGACAAGGTGGCCAAACTGTCGAGCATCTAGAGGATTTGCTCAGCCTCTCTGCTATGTTCCTCCCGACGCAACAACTGCTATATTCACCTTTTTTTGTTTGGCAACAAACTTGATGGCTATTTGGTAGGTTGCCCCCACTTCCAATTTGCGTATATTTACTAATTTTTTACTCATCATTCTTTTATCGTAAGAGAGAAGCCTGACAGTGCTATAAGTAGCCATTTCCAGAAGATGGCGCGACTTGGCAAATACTGCAAAACCCGCTATGTAGTTGAGAACCGGAACTGGTTGGGAGCTCACACTGGCGTCGCCATGTTTCAACTCGCACGAGAAAAAGAGAATATGCAAGAGCAACCAATCTGCACAGGAGACGCTCTCCATTAAATTGCAAGCAAAGTTTGTGGTTTTAGGTGCTTCCTCTCTCAAGTCTAAGCTCTCTGCGCTCACTAGCTAGGTCGTCCGCACTGTTGTGTACCGTTGACCACAGGAAGTTTGTTCTAATTTTTCGCAGAAAGTGAACTATGCCTTGAAATTTAAGAAGTTAGAATTCACCGCTCCAAATAGACCTTGGATGAAAATTGGAAGATTGCTACGTGCAGGCACCGGTTTTTACGGGCAGTCTTAAAGAAAGCCTATGTGTTGAAGCCACCCCATACTTTTCCTTCTGTGCAGTCCAAAAGTGTGCCTCACACTAACCGTCGCTAACAGACCTGGTCGTAATCGCCCGCAAGTTGACCATTTTCGAGAGTGGGCTTTCCAGTAGCCGCTGGTTCAATTATCCGAGGTCGCCGCATTGTTGGCGCGCACGTTGGGATGCATTGGACACGGGCGCTGCATCGGCATTAGGCCCGTATTCAAGTCCGAACATAGTTGACACGAGCGGCACGTCGGTGCTCAATGTGAACTCGAATCCAATCGCACGTGCAGGGAGCCATGCCCATTATATGGCGGCCACCAGCGTGGCTCGACCGACTTTAGAAAAGGCTCTATTACGACCCTAGAACTGCGTTCCGAGTTCTCAATGGGAGTAAAAAAAAGGCCGCTTTCCCGCAGGGACTTACGTGTGCTCGCAGTGCGGGTACGAGCTGTTCTCGAGCCGCTCCAAGTTCTCCCACAACTCCCCGTGGCCGGCCTTCACGGAGACTGTGCATGCAGACAGTGTCACCAAGCGCCCCGAGATGGGACGGCCCGGCGCACTCAAGGCATTTCCTCTCGCCTTTTACCTGTTGTGCACCAGTGTTTGTTTTTCCCCATAAAACACGCCAAGCCGCTGTCGCACTGCTCGTACGCCATACACGTTTCATGTGTGTGGACGTACCTCAAGCAGGCTTGCATGCTTTCAGTACGTCTGCAGACAGTTCATGCAAGACTAGGGATGCCGCGAACTTTTTTCGAATCGAAGTTTCGATGATCGAATCAAGCGGTTCGAAAGGTTCGAAAGATTTCGATTTTTCGAATTGTTTATATCGTAAAATTCGACGGAGGTCGAATTTTCGAACTTGTTAAGCTAAGAAGTTCGACGCTTTTCGAACCGTCGAACTTATTACGCTAAAAAATTCGATCTTTTTCGAACTTTCGAATTTATTGCGCTGCAAGGTTCGATGCTTGTCGAACTTTCGAACTTGACTGACCAAAAAATTCGATGAATTTCGAAATTTCGAACTTATTTATCAAGATGATTCGAAAAGTTTCGAACTTTCGAATTCTGAAAAGTCAGAAGTTCGACGAACTTCGAACTTTTAGGGTAAAAGTTCGACGTTCGTCGAACTTCGAAAGACCGGCGGACGGTTTCATTTGATTTCAAGTAGTGGGGTACATTCGTAATTTTTTTTCTCGAACTTTTACGCGCGGTGCTGCGTTCCTTACGAAAGACAATGTCATTTATTTCAATGTTCTGGCATGCTTAGGTTTAAAGAAATAAATCCCCGAAGGGGCGAGAACAGACGACGGGTTTTTGACGATTATCGTTTGTGCCTGATTTGAAGCACGCTGCAGCCGGAGCTATTTATGGTAGATATGTTATACTTTTTTAAGAATGATCTATGTATAGCCTAGGTAAGTGCCGTCCTAAGATGTGATTATTGTTATTCAACGTGAGTTTCGAAGAAATGTCCAAACATGTATCTGCATGCAATTATGACCTAAACTTGATATTTATTTTCGTCTAAGTTGTTTGAGGTATCGCATTTAAATTAACACCACAGACAGTACATATCATTGCCATCTGCAGAATACAAAATAATGTATTTATTGTTTTTCACGTTAAGGAATAAATTAATTCATGGCAGAAGATTTCTAGTAGTGTTCAAGTTCAGCACGTCATTAAAAAAAAACATTTTTTTTTTTCGCTTCACGTTTTTGGGACGTGTTTCTTTTAGCCTGTACACATTTTGGTAAAAGAAACTTGTTTCGAAGTTCTGAACCTCTGAATATGCAAGAATAGAACACTTCCGACGAATTCTTGATAGTTTTTTTTTTCTCCTGCTTTTTATTCCCGCATTTATTCTTTTTTTTTTTTCTTTTTTTTTTTCTTTTGTTACTATCGGCACAGGTGTTTAGGTCGAAAAGACAGCTTTGAACTTCCGAACCACTAAGCATGTGACGAGCAGTGCCTTCTGACAACGAGTTTCTAACAATGACCATCTACGCAACCTTTTATGCAGTGAAGAGCGACAGTAGCTATACATATGCATAAATAATTTCAGATTAAAATAAGCACCGGATCGGGGTTTTTCTGAGCCTCAACCTCCTGCTCGCCACTGGCCGTTTCGAACTGGATGAGTCTCGTAAAACAGTGTGTTCGTGCAATCACTACTGCGTGATAAAGACCCCCCCGGGGCTGGCGGTCACAATTCTGCACTGGCAAATATTCTAGCATGTCCGGGACACTCGTCGTCTCATTTAATTGCCTGACCCAACTTCGCAGAATCTAGATATCACACCCTAACTTTTCTAAACTTGATTTTGTGAAAACCAGTGAGTCGGGAAAACGTTATTTGAAACTGAAACTGTAGAAAAACTTGAAAATCGGACTTCGAACTTTGAAAACTTGGACTAGAAAAAAATTCAAAATCTTCGAAGTTTTTTTTTTTTTTTTTTTTTTTTTTTAATTTAGCGTTAAAAGAGAATCGAAGCCTTCGAACTTTTCGAACTTTATGCAGAAAGAAATTCGAAATCTTCGAATTGGTCGAACTTCATGTCTATAAAAATTCGAAGCGTTCGAAGTTTTCGAATTTTTTTTACAAAGAATTTCGAGATCTTCGAATTTATCGAACCTGAAGTAAAAAAAAATCGAAATATTCGAATTCGAAATTTTAGAAACCGTGAAAGCTTCGAAATTTTCGAATTCGAAACTCCGCTGTGGACAAAAGTTGCGAATTTTTCGAAATCGAACCTCGGTCGGTACGAAAATATCGAAATTTTTCGAAATCGAACCTCACTTCGCTTCGCAAATATCGAAACCTTTCGAAATCGAACCTAGGGTGGTTCGCGACATCCCTATGCAAGACAAATGTGTCTACAGACTGCGTACATTAAAAGCAGTGTGCCTGTGGCTTAAAAAGAGCTTAACTTAGCCTACAGATGTTTGTTCTCGCTGCTGTTTCCTGGCTACTTGATTAGAGATCTTCACTGTGCGGTACTGTTGAAGCATTCAGGAAAGTGGAGAGCGAGAAACATCTAGAGGCAGAGTAAATTATTCCTTTATTTTTGTGCAAATTGCTAGTTTTATAAGTTTATGAGTCACCAAAAAGGTGTTATCGAGCACTTGCCACTTTCAAATAAGTTCCCATATTTATTCGTCGGCTAAGCTGGACCCGCGCGTGGAGGACACGTCGCCTTTCCTTGCGCTTGCAGACGTCAACCTTTTTCTTCCTGTGACAATAAAGCTCTTTTCCAGTTAAAATTTGAAACAAGCAACAAAATAACCGAGATAGGGCAGAGCACTAGTGGTAGCGCCGCTATCTGCCACGAGAGTGCGCAAAACAAGCTCTGAACCCACACCTGAGCCGCACTCAAACACTGAACTACCGAAATACTCTTTTTATTATTGCCTGGATGGAACATACCTATCACAAATTATACTTTCCTAAGAAAGAAATAAAATTTTATCGTAATATATACATAATGAGGCATATTTTGAGTCTGGAACGATTCCAAAGGATGCTTACCCTGACAAAACATTTACACCTGCCTGGACATCACAGTCTACAAGGGCCAACCTATTAAAAGGTAACTGCAAAGAAAAAAAAGTGTTTTCTTAAACAGCCTAATTGGGACAAGCATGTCACAAAACAAATCTTCCGCGAAAAAAACAAATTTGTTTAGCAATATTTACGCCACACGACGTAATTTAGTCGGAGTCACAACCTATCCACATTTGAAACTCCCGCTCTTTCGACGCGCACGGAGTGGCTGGAATACGTCACTCCGCGACGTATAATACCAACTTTGTGGCGCGCAGTTTAAAACGGACGAAATAGCCGCAAACTAAAATCAGTCCCGCGCGATAAATATTGCTGTAAAAAATTTTGTTTTTGTTGGAAAAATTGTTTTGTGACATGCTTGCCCCAATTAGGCTGTTTATAAATACACTTTTTTTTCTTTGCAGTTACCCTTTTAGAAAAACTGCTCTCGACAGTAAGGTTATAATTTTTGTGTTGGGCCTTCGGAAACCCAGAAGGGCCGAGCGCAAAAATTACCATTTGCGAACCGGCTGCTCAAGGAACAGAACTTGAAAATGTCCAGGAATTGGTCCCAGACATTGAGGGACGTAATTTGCAAAAACTTACTGCATTGGATCCTTTGTCTCATGTATGCATTCAGAAGATGCAAACACAGCTTGCCGGTACTTTGCAGCTCACTTACGACAGCTCCTCCATTTCACGTATACCAAAAATCTGTTACAGCAAAGGAAATGACAAATTTTGAGTAGGGCTTACCACAAGCGACTGCTCGTCAACTCGTAGCAAACCCCCGGCATAAGACATTTCACAAACCTTTGGAATTTGTCACGAGTGGGTTGCACCGTGTTTCTGTTAAGAGGTCAAGAACAGCATGAGCAGAGGCTCCCGATGCAGTCCTTATGTCCTTATTTTTCCGAGTTAAATCAATTTTTGTTAAATGTTCTTTTTGTTACAGAAGAGTGGCTGGCAGCAAACCACCAGGGGTCAGTTTACGACATGTCCAACAATTGCCTTGTTCCTCTTTGCACACGCGTGCAGGTGTTCTGCGGCAAGTGCAATCAGGGTCTGGGGCACGAGTTCCTAAAGGACGGCCCCGACAAGAAGTCCCGCTTCTGAATATTCTCCGAGTCCCTGCGCCTGGTCCCCAACTCGGAAGCAGGTGAAGCAAAGGAGTCCTCGTAATGTGCTCGGTCCAGCCGTGCATGTCTTCCTCGTGCGTCCGGCTCTAGTCCCAGCAAACGGGCCGCAGAGCATGCGCCTGCGTCCGCAAGGTGTCGCCAGTCGCCGTCCGTTTAGCCGATAGTCATTTTTTCATAGTCTACGGGATCCCCGCATACGAGGATTGTCGGAGAGCGGTCTCTCTATGGTTCAACTTACGTGAGACTTGCGTCCACTTTAGTTCTAGCCGAGTCGTTGATAGTCAGTTATTTACTCGAGACCATGTTCTTACGTAACTGGAAAGTTGCCACAGAAGATGTTTCTACCAACAGCTGACCACTGGTGGACTTAGAAGCGCTGCGAAGCAGAATGCGAGCGCAGGCTTATTCGGGCTGCAGAGACGAGGGTGGCTTTCCACTGTCTGCTGGTGACATGTCCTTGGCTGTCTCTCTCTCTCTCGTGCGCTTTTGCCGGTTGCTGCTCCGCTGCTTTTCTCTCGACCTCTGGGTCTTCCGACGATCTAGGCCCCTTTCACTTCAGACGGGACTTCGTCCGAAGCGGGGAACGGTCCAACTCTCGACCAGACGCCCAAGCCGGTGGGACTCCTCTACCGGTGCAGCCTCATGTAGCGGCCACCAGCACCATCTGCAACCGTTGCCGGGACGACAGCTACAGATGCTTTCTAGCTTCCACCCGCTTCGCTTGGCGTGCTGTGCTTGCCGTATAATGGGGTCTTCAAAATGGTGCCTTGGAACGATGATGCCTTCGATATGTAAATTTGGTCGCAATTTCGGTGCCATAGACCAGTGACGGATGTACCGCCGCGGACAAAGTGGAGTGAGCCGACGCGCTTATCCCACCCGATCGTGTTAGGAGAAACCTTTCTTTGTCTGAATGATACATTTTACACACCACTACCCAGTTTCGTGTATTCCACTTTCTCTTGTGTGCGACACTTGGCTTGAGGTTTGCCAAAGACTGCGAGCGTGAACTTGTTTCATAGACTGTTTTGTTGCAGGGGAATGCAACTAAGTCATGTTGGGGCACAAATTCATGTATGGTCCCAGTATCCATTGGGCATTCTCTGAATGTCGTCAGAACCACGTATTCGCTTTGGGTGCATATAGGATTTTTTTTTCAAGAGCGGCCGTCTCAACACGGGCTTAAGCTGAGCTAGTTGGTTTATTGCTCTCGATGGGCCAGCTGAACAAAGATTACATCACACACAAAAAACACCATTCACACTGCTGGCAAGAAGGTTAAGAGTTACGAGGCTAGTTCTCTGAGCACGCCTTGTATCTCTTTTAACCTTCTTGCCAGCAGTGTGAATGCCACTTTTGTGTGTAGTATAATCTTTGTTCAGACAGTCATCTTAAGCTTAAACTGGCGCATGAAATACAGATGGCTTTGACAACTGTGGAGGGGAGGGATCCATTGGATACTGAACAAGACTCCCATCGGAACGCGTGTCTAGTCTGCCCCACGTTGGCCTTCTTCCAGCGACGCCCAATATTCAGCACTATGACTGTGTTATCTAGCAGCTGTTTCGTTATTCCCTCTCCTCTGAACCAGTAAACTACTTTCGAGTCGCTATTTTCTGACTTTCAGACGTCGAGAAGCAAAGTGCAACGGCAAGAAGTCTACCCCATTTACTGGGTAGACCTTTGATGTTTTGACGCTGTTATCTGCAATGTACAGGTTAACCTTCGAATGCACGTGGGTGGTCGGCGCGTTGGCTCATTTCCCGCCTTTTCGCTGGGAGTGGGGCAGACGACGAGCGGCTTGGCGGTGCCTTCTGCAGTAATGACGCAGCACTGACAAAGCCTGTCGAGTTGACGGGCGCAGTGTTGCTGAAGAAGCTTCCCGCAGGACACTGGCCAGGCTGTCTTTGAGGTTCTGCCCCGCTACCAGCTCTCTCCCTACCTCTAAATGTGTGCGACGTATCTATGTATAAATCAACTTTTGTACCTTGTGAGCATGCACTGCTGGAGGAAGGTGCGACCGGAACAACATTTTAGCGAGTTTGTTTCATGTTTTCAAGCGTTTTAGAAGGATGCATAATCATAAACTTGAAGCAACTTCGATCTTTAAAAAAATCGGGTGTGAAAAATGCACTCGACATCATGCTGAACAAACCCAGCGAAGAGGGAATAAACAATATTAAATGCCAAAGGGCACCTGTGGTTTTCTTTTTTGTTCCGTGATCTATAGCATTGAAGTATTATTGAAATGTTCCAAGTAGCCCTGGAACAAACACGACACTGTACTTCAAAGAAGGGACAAGCACTTGCGTCTGTTACCTCGCCTCTGGCCTTTGCCGATACGATTGCTTGCCAAATCATATTTCGATACTCAACATACCAAATTTCTGATGGCATAATGTGATTGGCTCAGCTTGCAAGCCAGTGAAATATTTTGTAGTCTTTTCCTTGTGACCTGCATGTTAAACTATAGTCGCCAGCGATTTCCCTACCCACCCCCTGGGGGAGGAAGGGGGGTAGACCCCCCTAGCTTGTCTGAGGGCACTCCCTGAAATAATCTTCTGCTAAGAAAAATAATTAATATTTATTTTGTGCAAAACCGTTGTTTTCTTGAGCACGCTGGCTCAAAAGTGGTTCCTACATGGAGTTAACGTCCCAATAGCATCAAGGCACGAGCTGTTTTGTCGCGCCTTTCCGCTGCTTAGCTCCTTGGGTGAAGGAGAACAGAGGAAAGGTTTGTTCATTGAAGAGGTGTGTTCGTTGTTTACATTCATTGCGGCATCGCAGTATGGATGCCGCGACTGATATTTTGATGTTGCTTTTTGCATTACTTTGTGCTTTCTTAAGAAAATTGTGCATTCTTCTTTAAATGCTTAAACATTAACGTTGAATGTAGAGTTCCGGAACCTCTGTCGGGCACACACAAAAAGGAACAGCAAAAAAATAGTGAAGTAAATAGAGAAAAGAAATTGCCTCCTTGAGCCTAACTCCCAGACCCCTGGAAATTCGACACCACCCCCCAATTTCTATTTCTAGGGAAATCCCCAATGGTCACTCCTCTTGTGCTAGTTCATTTGTTGTATTTTTCACCTCGATGAGATTGCAATAAGGATTGCATGTAATGATTGTCTTCTACCGTGCCTTATGAACTCTATTAAAAGTTTGGCTTATACAACTGTTCTTGTGTGCACTGTCGCTTCCTTTCGACGTTGAAAACGGCCACCTTGGCTGCTCTGGGGCAAAGCACCGGCCTATGGATCCCGGGGTGGCGGGTTCGAATCCCGGCCGAGGTGCCCCGGAACCTGGTGGAGGCTTAATGCGAGAAGGCCTAGATTTTGGTTGCCCATCAGAAGGTCCCAAAACTTCGCTAGCGCCAAACGCTAACAAAGTTTTGCACTTTATGGGTGCTATCTTTCGGAAATTGTGTGCATATATTAAGAGTTTACGTCCCTCTAAGGAGGATTTATTATGCACGAGAAGTGGCTAAATAAAGCCAAGGCAATCACTAAAAAAATGGCGGCTCCCAGGACCAGCCGCCGTTAAGAACAAGACGGCGGCATCCTTGCGGCTGCGATTTTCAGTACAGGAAGACATTGCGCTTCTTTGGGAGGTGCACGTCACAACCGGTTTGGAAGATCCAGCAAGGTGGGCTATGATCGCCTGCTGCTTGCAACACACTAACGTTTCTCGGAAAAGGTGGGATGTGTGAGGGTCGGTACAAGAGACCCCTCTTGCCGAGGCGACGCCAGCGGACACAACCGGTTGCGTTGCATTCTATTTTAACAAATCTCTAAACAACAAATGTTTTTTCTTAAGTTATAGCATTTTGTGCATGAAATAAATTTTTTGACTGTAACTTGATAGCATTGCAAGTGCGAAATGGTTGGATTTAGTGTGGCGGCAGAGAAAAGCTATTTAGAACTCTCTAGCGTAGAGTGCGTCAATGGAAGTGCTATATTTAGCGATGATCTGCGCTAAAGCTGCGCACATTATTCTAGAACTCCGTTAATTGTTTTCATGCCGACTTTGCATCATGAATTTCTACCCTATTGAAAAATCTCAAGGATGGAATTATGAAGAACCATATAATACATGCATACTGTGTCATGGGAAAAGTCGTGATGGCAACCAAAATATATGACAGATGCATAACATATCTATGATCAGCGTTAAGCTTTGTGATGACCATATCATAATATGGAACGCTGGAGTTCTTATATCAGTGTAGTAGTTTCAAACAAGCATGACCTCAGCACATTGATAGATGTGCTGTTGTTCGAGGTCTTTGTGGAGCAACAATAGTGAAGTAAAAGCGCAATCACTTTAGCACATATTTATTTCGAGAAAAATACATGCAGCAAAGCTTGGCTGTACTCTAAAGAGGGGAATTATAAATTCTTAACTGAACAAACGTACCCCTAAGGCCTGTCAGAGGAAACTCCCAATTCTCCCCAGGTCAGAAGCTCCTAGCTTGTGGGTAGAGAGCCAGCAGAATTCCGAAGCATGCTGAAAACACGCCTGCAATATAAAAATGAAATGTGAGATGAAGACTAAAAGCCTCACATTCCATAAAGACGGAATAACAATGAAGACAAACAAAGGAGGCTCTTGTTTGATCTAGTTGGTTGATAAATAGTGTAAATGAAGAGATTTGGGCAAAAGCGTGCTCAATGCACAAAGAAACATGCTGTTGTGTATACTGGCTGTGCAACGGGGGTTATAAAACGAAATTCCTTTTAGCCGTGGCCACACTCGCATTGGACAAGCTGGTTGTTGCTTCAATGACAGCTCGTAAACATCACCTATCAGCAAGAAGCAAGTTTGGTGGTCATCTTGCTGAGCACTAAGCACTGCGGCTGTGAACCACATTTGAAAGTGACAGAATTCTTAAAGAGAACAAACGACGAGAGAGAGAGGTAATAGAGGCGTTGTTTGTCAACTAGGCTGGAGATAAGTGCAGCAGCATGCCTTCCCAAAGTTACGAAAATTAAAAAGTGAAAGACAAGGACAAGTGGAAGACTACACAGGACAAGTGCTTACTCGCAACCGACGTTTTAATTCGGAAGACAATGAAGACGAAGGCATTAAATTCCCTAACAATAAAAGATTCTGAAAAGGTGTCCAGATAAGCGAACTCTAGAGATTTTTGAGGCTGACGTGATTGCGACCAAAGGAGACGCCCGCATCAGTGCTCCTTCGGTGACCTTGTCATCAGAAGAATTAGAGTACATGAAATATTTTCCTTGGATATTCTTAATTTGCTTTACCTTCCTTTTTCTTTTTCTTAATATATTTACTGTCATTTCTTTTCACTGTTAATTTAATTGTGCCCCATTTCCTATTGTTTTTACTAATTTCCTTTCTTTACTTTATCAATTCTCACTCTTTTCAGATCCTTTCCCATAAATATTTGTAACATTTAACGTTAGTGTTCTTCATCTTCCTCATCTTCCGAATTAAAACGTCAGCTGCGAGTAAAGCGCGAAACACATGTACGACGAAACCGTCCGATTCGACGTCCGAACAGGCAATACGACGGTCGGAGGCGAGGGTTTTCAACGCTCTCAGATGCTACGAAAACCCTTGCCCCCCAAGGTCATTCCGGCAGTCCGCACGTCGGATCGGACGATTTCGTCGTACGTGTGTCTCGCGCTTATGCGCTTGTCCTGCGTAGTCTCCCTCCTGTCCTTGTCTTTCGCACTTTTAATTTTTGTGATGTTTACCCAACTAGGCCTTCAAATCATTTTGCTACCTTCCCAAAGTGTTTGTGCTGAGAGCATAAGTTCTGTTGCACCTTGATCGCGAGTGTGAGTAGGATGTTTAGTGTCACTCTGCAAGAAGCGAGCGTTTCTGGTTGTGCATCAGGAACACAAAAATGTGGTGATTTAGAGTTTTTGCGGCATTACAATATCACAGTACCAACAAAATCTATGCAAATTCCTACCCATACACCCTTTTCCGAGCAAAAGCTGGGGACCAAGATGGCAGCTCGCGAGGATTGGTGGCCATCTGAGCTGGTGTTTGGCAACAATGGACTCTGTGTTCTTGACAGCTGACATGTTTTTCCAGAGCTCTAACAAAATCAGTTGAGACCCGTCTGTTTTTTCTGTTACTTCTGCTCTTCTAAAAAAAACCCAGTCTCAGGGTAAACAACGAAATGGTTAACAAAATCATGTTTTTTTTTTTGTTTTGTTTTAGTGTACATGGGTTAGTAAGACAAATAATGTTAAGTAGTGATAAGGTGTTAGTGTAGCTTTTGAAGTTAAGTTGGATTATTTAGCCTAGCATTAAGGAAGTTGGATTATTGGGGTCACATGACAAGCTTTGTTTAAACGTTTGGTAGGCTGGTTTGACAGTTTTTTAGAAGTTTGTGACAACTGGAACAGATTGCGTTTTTCTTATTTACCCTCATTTAGGTGGATAGTGCGATCCAGGAAATAGTTTGTGATGACAAAGACTGGTTAGTTTTTTGGTTTCTGTGGCTTTATTTCCGCAACACATAAAGGCGTAATGTGGCGGATTATTTTGAATGAGGGGAGGAAAAAGGAGACGACTGAACACTTGATAGTTCACGGTGTGGACAGGATGAATGATGGTGAGACGAACGCAAAACAAGGAAGAGGACGAGGAGGAAAAGGAGGTGTGTTGCGACCTGCGTTGGAGGTGGTGCTATTTGGATGATACCTTGTTTTTGAATGTGGGGGTGGTGCAGGAGGCAGAGTTCACCTGCAGTACGAAGTACAACTAGCACAGCTGGGGCACAGGCGGGAAAGAGGAAAATTTGGACCCTCTTCTGCGAGGCTCTAGCCCAGTCTCAACCCTGAGTCCCAGTGGGTCTGGTGTTAGGTGACGACAAGGTTTGACCAGAGGAAAATTGGCGACTCTCTCATTGGGGGAATGAGGTGACGTTTTTTAGTTGGTGACAAAGCAGGATGGGTCTGCTGCACAGAGACAACATCAAATCCTACCGCCCCATAATGGTAGCATCTATCCTACACAGACTAGCAATGCAGGTGGTTAAGGGTACAGAAGAATTGGCAGTAACAGAAGAAAAGAGAACTTCAGACAGGGGCAGATTCAGGACTTGGTTTTGGGGGGATTATAAAGTAAGATAAACAGTGACTCCGGTTGCGCCTTTTGTTTTAGCTGCTGCAAAACCACACCGCGCCGATTTATTAGCTCCAAGCTGTGCTTTGAAACCGCTGCCGCGGACTTCAGCCTCGGTTGAGGCGGCGGAATGGTTCTCCAAGTTCAGAGTACAAGCGTGCCTGCTAGGGTGCGACCTACACTATTTTGAACCCTCGTCCTTGAGTACTGAGCCTTCTACCGCCTGGCAGGCCGGTAGCCAGTTTTATTTTGGGGGGGGGGTCCACCCATGTCAAATTGCCCTCCAAGGAGGGGCGGGGGGGGGGGGGGGGTGCAACTTGCCCCCGACTCCCCCTCCCCGCCCCCGCCCGCCCCCGCCCGCCCCCGCCCGCCCCCCGCCCGCCCCCCGCCCGCCCCCCCACTTTTCTTGGAGGGTAATTTGCACCTGATTTCAGAATGGTTTTTGGAAGGATTGGAGACTAGTAGGCCCTGGAACCTGAGGGCCCGGGAACACTTTGTCAATAAAAAAAAAAAAACTCGGGCGGCCATCTGCCAGCGCATTGTAAAGTGCAGTTGCCACCCCGATTTGCGAAGAGCACGCATTCTCGAAAGAGCACAGGAAGTAACGGAAAGAAAACTCGTGAAAGCCGACAGTTCACGAAAAAGAAAGGTCACGACTCCATAAGCATGCAGTCGTTTCACTATCAAATAAAGAAATCACTTTTTTTTTTTTTTTTTTTGAGCGATGCTATATGCATTACGCGGAGAGCTCATGCCGCTCGGGCCACCCTTTTTCGAACTGCGCGTGTATCACTGGGGAGCTCGTTAAAACAGCCCCCCGCCTGCGTTCACGCCGCTTCGCGGCGACAGTATGTGGCTGCTAATTAGAAAATTTAACCAGTACACGCCGCTTCGCGGCGTCCAGCCGGCAACCCAAGCCCTGCTGTTCCCGATCTGCGAAGTCTTGTCGACAACATTCGGTGTTCTTTTTCTATTATTTTAGTGTTCATCGCAAAAAAGAAATATAAATATCGCCAAATGCCTCGTCAAAACAACGCTCAAGAAAAAAAAAAAAAAAAAAGTGGGTTCACCAC